GGCAACTGTGGAAGATATTTGAAATTTAATGCCTATTGCGATGTCTTTATTTGCATAATTATGATTTGTTCACTTTGACATAATAATCGCAGTGCAATTGTAGGACAAATTGGTTTCTTAATCATGCATTACTTTTCAATGATTACCTTTCTTAACTTTCTTCTTACTTGACTCCTTTGGCCTTGCGTTTTCCAAGTTCTAAATATAATAGGAACAGGTCATATGATCCTACCTGCTATGAAATTGTGCAGATTTTTTAAATGAACATTCAGATGAAAGAAAAGACACCTCAATATAAGTAAGAATTCAAAGTTTTAGTTTAATATAAATTAAATTGTCAAACTGGATTTGTATTGGAAATTAAAGTGCCTTGTTGTGTAGACCAATATTCGACATTATTAGCTAAAATTCGGCCTTCTTACTAATTTTGGGGTCCTCTTTCCATTTCTGTTCATTTTTTACAAAGGTGCTCAATTTAATAGGGGTTTAGTCATGGTGACCTGTTCTTGTGAATGACATTTTTTTTTGAATTCCAGTAAACCTCCTTCAATAGATAAATAATTAAAAACGTAAAATTAGTGAAAGTGTTTTCAAAAACGTGCTCAACTTCTTTCACGGAGCATTTCATTAAACAATTGTACTTGAGACTTGAATTGTAACTACCTGACAAGTGTGGTCATCCTGATGACCATATGGAACCAGCTTGTAGCAATAAAAGAATAGATCATTCAAGTACAATTTTTATTTTAAAGGAGCCGTCCCAGGGTGATGCTTTGCGCGCCTCGAATTACGGCGATGACATCGAAATTCTTAGTATCAGTGGTTCAAACAATCCGTCTAAAATCTCGTACATCTCAGGTTTTCTCTCGCAAGTTCATTATATATTAGTTCTTTATTTATTATATATTCATTTTCTGCAATTGTTTTGGATATTTGGTGTTGTTTCATCGTAATATTTTGAGTTTTGCCTATATGGCTTCAAACCCAACGAAGCCCTCTCGCGGTCGTCCGAGTCGTAAAGAAGAAACACCGCACATACTTTTCAAGGCCTCGACGTACGAGGCAGAATGGGCCTTTCGAATTTAAACAACAGTGAATTTGCCGAACTGTTGCTTCACAGAGTGGACAACGAAGAACCAGATCAACTACCAGCTAGTCGGCATAAACGTAAAAGAATTGTCGGTGAGTAGATTTGTTGTGCATTGATATTTTGATTATCGATGTCTACCTAAACCCGAATCTTGTATAATCCATTCGAAACAAACTTGAATCCCCCTTTCAGAGCCATCGAAATCACGAAAACAACTTTGGTCTACACCTGGAAGCATGAGTGGTGTCTTGTCAAGTCCTACAGCAATTACAGCAATCTCGCCGATTATGGAACAGACTTCAGGCAGCATAAAGTAAGGCACAAATAATAACTCTTCTTACATTGTCTTTATAAGAATAAAAATAATCTCCCTTTGTAATTGTCTCTGAATACAACGTTCATTTGTTGTGGTTTTGTAATTTTTTTGTGTGAGATTACATGTTGTCGTGCCTCGATGTAATATTCGAGGTACACAAATCAACTGGAGAAACGATTACTAGTTATGTATAGGATTTAAGTTATTGGTTATCATGTTGTTTCATAACAAACAATCTTTTTTTGTTTGTTTGTTTGTTCTAGCATTGATGTCACCGGACGGTGAATTACACTACCAAGTACTTCTGTTAGTGAAGTCAAGTAAGAAGCACATGACTGCATTGGTACATGTTTTTGTTGTTTCATACAATCATATCTATTTTGTGTTTTATCATTGATATAACTGGACAGTCACTAACACCACCAAGTGCCAGCCAGCCACTAACACTAGGAAAAGTGCTAAGTAAGAGCCAAATTATTTTTTTATTTTTATGGTGTTTCATTATTCAGATTAATAAGTATGTTGTGTATTAGCGGAGCACCATAACTAAGGAAAAATGGAGTTGAGTTTTGATCAACCGACACAGGAAGCCCAGTTGTCCTTCCGTACGTACGTCCGTCCGTCCGTCCGTGTACATCGATTGTGATTGGCTACTTTTGAGAAGGCGGGAAAAGGAAGCGCGCTCGCGGAGTGTCGCGCTCGCGTCAATTCTTGAAACACCTTTTTCACCGCAACGACTCCATTTTTGTCGTTTCAAATACTTTACTTCTGCGCCAAATGTCGGAAAATCAACGGGTAGTTAACGGAAAGCGATCTTTATCTGCAGAAGAAAAGACAAGAAGAAGAGAAAGAGAGCGTCGAAGAAGTCTAAGTGAAGAACAACGCAGGTTTGAAAGGGAAAACGTGAGAGACGAAACAATCAAGTTTAGCTTATTAATCAAGCAAATCGAGAAACAAGTGAACNAGAAAGAATCAAGCTGGCTTTACAGGGACATCGACTGAAGTGCGCACAGCTTGAACAAGAACTAAATGCAATGCTTGAAGAACTTAAGAGAGCAAACATGGAAATTGACAATGAACTCAGCAATGACTTTGTAAATATTCTTGATTCTAACGATGCTAAAATAACTCCTTTTATGAAGCTATTTTGGCAAAAGAAAGAAGACGTTTAATCGTAAGAAGACGTTTAATCGTAAAAGTACTGGTGTACGTTATCATCCCATAATCCATTACGATCTGACAGTTTGACATATAGAATGACAAAAACGAGTCCGAGGAAGGATAACATCGTAAAATCCAAAATTTGGATTATAAACGAGACGTTGTTCAACAATATTTCGGTTTAATTCAGAACCATAATCATGTTAGTTATTTTACAATTTTGCAATCCTATTTAAAACAAGTTTAATTCTCTAGAGGCTTTCAAGCCGTCGTTAATTCCCGGGCGTAAATTCTTGATGTAATAGGCCTCGAGGAATTCCAACCGAGACCAGTTGTCACTTGTGTCAATGACTTCAAAGTTCCCGTGAACTGCATTATGAATATACGCGTCGAAGTCAACCATGACTGAGTGCTCATCGTTCACGGTGGGCAATCCCATGATACTCACCATATCACTGAACAGAGTACAATCTACTAAGTGCTTAAACATAGGTTGATCTTTGCGCCTAGCATGTTCATTAAGTATAAAATACAGACATCGATCGGTTTTCCCAATGTATGTTTGGGAGCAACCAGGACATGTTAATCTATAAATTACATTAGATTTCTGATAATCTGCTACAGGGTCCTTATTAGAACAATAATAAGATGTTTTAGTGGTGTCGTATCTAATAATAAATTTAACTTTGTTGGTAAACGATCTATTTAGTTTCTTAATTAATTTGTGGACCAGGTCTTCTCCTACTTTACCAGCATAAGGCAATTTAATCCACACTGTAGGTGTGGTATCTGTATTATCTATSCGATTATCTACGCGAGGTCTTTTAACAATATTATGCAAACGTTTTATAACCGAGTTACGTTTTATAACACATCTTCTCAGATGCGCCACACCTGGTTAAAACTACGCGGAACTGCTTGAAGAGCTCAGGATCTGGTACATGTACACAGTACATGTGGAATGACGGCCAATACATTTTGTGGCAGCACATCACAGAGATGTTTTTTTCAGGATATAGATAACGGCCTGAAACTATTACCAAGGTTGACATTTGAGCACATCAATCTGAATGCGTACTCAGTTATGCGTGTCAATCTCGCTGCCCAGGTCTTGAGTGCCTCGGTATCATCCGTTCTTAAGGAATTTGGGCCCCAAGGTGCTGAAGGCACTGCCAGGCTCTGTGAGATGGTGGATAAGTTCTTCGACTGTCTCAATGTGAGAAGTCTTACAGAGAGCCAGAGGAAGCGAAAACCATTCTTGGCTMCTTACAGATCTGTTCAGGATGAAAGGTATGTTTACTGTAGTTCTGTTTTTAACTTTTTTAGCATAACAGATTTAAAAATCTGTTATGCTATTGTTAAATAGTAATAATAATTTAAAAATTATTACTATTACACAATAAATCCATTTTTGTCCTTTTAAAAATACCTACATGTAATTATTGATTACACTAATTTATGCTTTTCATTTCCAATTATAAATTTTTGTGTTTCATTATTTTGTACAGGTTTCAGTTCCTGGCTGATTTTCTTCAATATCTGRGAAGCTGGAAAGAAAGCACAGAGAACAGACCTGGAGAGTACACCCAGAATGCAAGGGCCCGTATGTTCCTCTCGTGGCAAACTTATGAAGGCTTCCAAATTACTGCGAAATCAACTATAGAGTCAACAAGGTTCCTGCTTCAAGAGGGGATGGAGTATGTTCTGACAGAACGCTTCTGTCAGGATCCTGTAGAGGAGTTCTTTTGGAAACAGCGTCAACTGGGTAGACGAAGTGGCAACCCAACGATTCGTCAATTTGGGTACAACAGCAACACTATAAGAATTGAAAGATCCATCTCATGTCAGAGTGGAAACACTCGAGGAAGAAAGGATAAGAAGAAAGCATGGGTCCAAGTGACAGATGAGAAATTACCATGTAGAAAAAAAAACAAAAAATAATGTAATAGCATAGACTTGAGAAGACTTGAGCAATGTAATGTATTGTTTCAAAACATACATTAGGTATGTAATGTATAAGACTTTCTTCTGCATTTAATGAATTTTTCATTATTTTGTGTTTTTTCCTACATGGCAATTTCTCGGCATCGGWTACTTGTAACCGTGCTTTCTTCTTGTCTTTCAAAGTGGTAAAAATGTATAATTGACAGCAATTAACAAGATATAGAACATTTTTATTACATGGACCTTATAAATTGATGTACGTAACTTTTATCTTACAAAAGCTGGTGTTTAGCCAATTAGAACATTTGTTTCTCAGTGGTATATGCCCTATCTTAACAAATATATTTATTAGCGGTACGGAATGTACACAGGGAGGTATTGACGCGTGTCAGCACTTAAGTATAAGTGACTAAGTAAACGAAGTTTTGCAATACYCATCCCATGGGTATTTDCATATGCAGAGTATTTAAGGTGTGAGTCATGAATGAATTGCCATTCGAAGGCATCTCATCGTTAACACAAATCTTATTTTTTTGCTGGTTTTTGTTTTTTTTTTTCACTAGTACTAGTTCTCCATCAGCTCGTCCAGACTTGGAACTCAATGAGTGATAGCTTCTTTGACTGGAGTCGTCAAACAATGCCGTTTATAATTTGTATATGACCACTTGTACAATGCATACTTTCAGTTGTCAAACTATCAGGCATGAATAAACGAGATGCCCGCCCCTACTATGTTGTCTGGTCTTATTATTTGAATGGAGTTTAGGTAATAAATGTTTTATACTCGTTCATAAGTGAATAGAGTATAAGCAAAATTTCTATTTAATAACCTTTATGTGGCAACTTTTATTTGGTTGTTTTGACAATAGAAATCAATCAAAATAGTTGGTACATTTTATGTGTTGTTAGTCTGCATGGGCAATTTTTTATATATAACAATTTATATTTGCTACATAAAAACTAGTATGATAGCAGCTTTCCAACAAATACAATTGCCACATAAAAATTGATATTAAAGTAACACATTATTATACRAAATCTTAGAAAACATGAACTGTAATAAGTTTATTGAAAATTATCTACAAATAGTTTTCAGTGTCTTCTTTTAACTTTTGTTTTCATCTTCTCATAATACATTACACCAATTAATTTAAAAAATCTTATTTCCAGCTTAGATCACTTTTGACACAATAAGAGTGTTTTTCATATGACTGTGTACACATTGATGATCATCGATGAATATTGTAACTCATTATTTACATGTAGTGTGTAGCAGTTGAACAAAAACAAAAGAAAGAACAGGTCTGATGTTTTCTACTTATTCTTGCATTGTCATTAGAAAATATGATGGAATGCAGCAATGTTGATGTTCACTTTGGCTCCTGCTAATCTCCTTACGTAGAGCTTTTGCCTTTGTTTGTTTTGTTAGGATCTTGTATCTTTGAATAATATCCTTAGCCACTGAWAATGCTCGAACCTGTATATATAACTTAATGATGCCATACAAAACATCCTTTTGTACATGGCTGTCTGGTTTAATGTCTGAATCTACTATYATCAAATTAAAATTGGCAAGTATATCACTGCCCCTGATGGCCTGTTGTGCTATACCAGCAAGATCAACACCATGCAAATCAACATTTGGTGTAAGCTGCCTAAACAAGCACTCTGTCTTTAAAAATATCTTCTGTGCAGGCACTGTAATGCTCCAAAGTCCTCTACGATTTAAGCTTGAGATAATTTTTTGATTTGAGTCACTACAGTTTTCCAATTTCCCTGCTTTTAGAAGTGCCATGGTTTGTTGACTTTCCCTGCTACTGGCTCTTGCATGCTTTTTGTGCAGTTTGTGGAGAACATATCCTCCAAGATACTGGAGACCAGCCATTTCTCTCTCACTTACATGTACAGCTGTCGAGGAGGTTGTTTCATCTGGACTTTCCCTTTGCTTTTTACAGAAAGCAATTAATTTGTCGGCAACTTTAGTAGACAGAAGTGTGGCCACGTTTCTCGACAACCCACAGAAATATGTAGTAGATTTMGAAGCAATCGTAGCATAATATTTGCTATAGAACTTTTCGAGGTTTCCATTCTTTAAGTAGTCATCATACAATGTTTTTAACGTAGAGAACTCGGCACTTCCTTCCTGGAGAGGCTTATACGTATAGCTATTGAGTTCATTCTTCAAGCATTCTGCAAATAGTCCAGCTGAGTTTTCGACTGCACTTGAAACGATTCCTTCAAGAAGGCTAGAGCTGAATGGCGTCAGGTCAATTTCAGGACGTCTGTGTTTGGCAATCTTGTGTCTTTCGTATCCACCTCTTGTTTTGTATTTCTTTCCACATTCTTCACAAACAATCTCTTGTTTTTGGGCCTATAAGTTGGTCACGAAARACAGAACGTAAATATAGGGCTTTGCTTTTTGCTAGAGAGGTTTGTTTACGACTAATCCAAAGAAGCTAGACCCGAATCAAACACGGTATTTGTGCTCAATAATCAAAGATTGCGATGTCGAATTGTAATAAATAAAACTTACTTCATTTACTGTTGATAAGAAATGCTCTTCTATATCTTTATCATCCTCCAGCATGTCTAAATTAGCCTCAAAATCGTCTCCCCATATGAAATCTTCTTCTATGGACGCCATGTTTGTTTTTGTGTGCACCTTCGCGATCACGTGATAGGTACCTTGAAACTCAGAGAGCGTTCTATTGTTTCGCTCTTTGAAGTTCGCCGGCTTTCATAACCAGTCTCCCTCTATTAACTATGGTTAAATGAGCTTGTTGACAATGAAAATATGTGTGAATTGTGTACACGTACATTCTATACACAATAATAATCTTCTTTGACATAAAACTACTCGGATGTTTTAATTTATAAAACTATGCATTTTGAAAAGAGAGCCTTGAATGTTCAGATTTTTACTCTTTATTCTTCAATAAACTCTTTAATACAAACTGTCAACAAATACAGAGAGCAAAGATAAGCAAAGAATTTGAAGTGTTGAAAAATGGATAATCATTATGAACATTATGATTCCTTTGTTTACAAAACTGTCAAAATGTATTTAAGTTATTGCTTATCATTCATGATCACTGTATGTCAAAAATGTATTGATTAGTGTCATTCCTGTGTGATTAAATTACTATTAGGTATGTTTCCTGTGTGATTGAAAAACCACCAAAACTGTCAAATTGCATAAATGACCCATAAATCATTTTTTTGGATCACTGTATGATTGAAAAATATCAACTGCCAAAATGCATTTATTTATATTTATCATTCCTGTGTGATTACAGCCTTTTGCAAAAATTATGAGAATTGTCTAAATATCTAAATATCATAATATCCATATCCATATATTGTCCGGAACACGCGGGTTTGCTAGAATAATTCATTGTTGACATCGAGAAAATGTTCAGAACTACGGATATGTCCGTCGCCAAAAAAAAAACTAAACAACAAAGACAAGGGACTAAGGGCATCGCGCTGGATCATGCACTTGATATTATGATATTTAGATATTTCAACAATTCTCATAATTTTTGGAAAAGGCTGTAAATAAAGGATATTACATGGGTGCATGGAAATATTGTGCTAGCTCGTGGGATATATAAATTCAAAACTTGAAGATAAAATTCATATCTTCAAGCGACAGATGTAATGTTATGTCTATTAAATGACATTGGTGTAAGCAAAAGTCTGTAGTTACATAATCATTAGAAGATCAAAAAGTTTGAACATTTCAAGAACATTAATTATTAATTTATGATTTCTGCATGATTGAATAATACCAAAACTGTCAAAATGCATTTATATTATTTGATGATTCCTGTAAAGATTGAAAATACCAACTATTAAGAATTTAAAGCAACAAAATTGCAAACAATTTCTATTGACATTTAAAGTTGCATTTGTTATTATTTTTATTATTTCTGCATGATTGAAAAATTTCAAAACTGTCAAAATGCATTTGTTATTATTTTATGATTCCTTTAATGATTGAAAAATACCAAAACTGTCAAAATGCATTTAATATTATTTATAATTCCTGTATGATTGAAAAATGTCAAAGTTTCAAAATATATTAATAATTAATATTGATTTATGATTTCTGTAAGATTATCTAAGGAAGTTTTATGTCTTGCATCACATCTTCATCCAACATTCATATCTTTTGGGAGCTCCGCTATTAGGTTTTACCTAATTTTTATATTAGCATTGAACTCACGAATACACTACCCAGTCAACCTCATGTCAATTTATCAAGAACAGTGACTGAAGTTTTGAGAAGCAGAATAAATCCCTTGTATGGCTCTCTGGAAGGCGACCCCTTTCAGAATAGGTATGGTCATACTACTAACTTGGGATCTAGACTAATTTGCTACTTACTGCAATGTACTGTTGACATGAATAATAGCCATTATTACACCTTTGTGATTCTCCTTTAAAACTATGATCATTCCTGTTTGCCATTAGGTTAATGCAATAATATCCCCACAATAATATCCCTATACTGCCATTAATTGGGTAAAGTTTTTCAAATATTTTCAATTTCATAGTGAAAGTGACTTCCTCAGTAGTGCAAGCAGTGAGTCTGATGAAGAGAGCGAAGTTGAACATGTAAGTATATGTTCCAAAACGTCCAATAAAACAGAAATATTAAATCCTCAAGTACTCAAAAGGGGTGCTAATGGCTTTGCATGCTTTGTGGCTTATATGTAGCCCTAGGGAAAGTCTATATTCTGAAGTAAGACCCCTTTTGAGCTCCAACATCTTATATACTTGGTTTTCATAATATGTACTGCTGATTATGGAATACAAAATTTTCATTCAACTGAGCAAATTTCTGTGTTTTTTATCATGTATGTAAATCTTTTCAATTGAGAAACCTTGTCATAATAGATCTAAAAAATATTGAAATATCCTGGCAGACTACATGTAAACTATTTTTGTCATGTTTAAAAGACATCTGTGTTTATTCTAGTGTAAGCAAATGGCTTCTCAGTGAAAATGAAATAGATGATGACGATAGCGACTATGAAGATAATGAGGAGTATCGAAGTGAAAAAGATGAAATAAGCTTGTAAGTAATATTTTCAGTATAGTTAGTTAAATTATAAGTGTGAGTGCCTGGAATATGTCTGAAAGTTTAAGAGCCACTTCGCGCAAAAATCAGACATATCTTGGCAAGGCTCGAAAAATHAAATCTRTTCATATTTTGTATATTGATAAGGTATGATTAGGTAACAATCGCTGTATAATTGGTTTTTGAAAATATTTMATTTTTCGCAAGAAAATCGCTAATTAAAGTCACATACTGGACCTTTGCGTGACARATGCTTCATTGATAAAAATAGCTCTCAAAATAGCCAAACTTTATACCGAGTTCATGTAAAAACTAAAATAGCTATTTTAAAAATTTTAATTGCAGCTTTCTTACTAACTCTTTGATATTTATTTCAGTGATTTTCAGACCATTTAATTAAAAGAAAAATTTTCTGGAACTCGAAATATTCGCATATGTATTTTTATATGCAAATTAGTACCTTTGCAAAACGATTTTTTAAACGTGCAAGCATTTTGTTTGCAATAAAATTCGGATTGATTACTAAACAAGAGATGAGCTTTTCAAATTAAAATTTAAAAATTAGTTTGGGCAAATCACTTTCAGTTGCATAGAAATGAATACTTCTGGCGATAATAATCCGTTGAAACACCAAATGTTTTAAACAACCCAAATTCATTTACATTGCCTAAAATGTTCAAAGAAAATAAGCTTAACCCTTTTTATTTCAATAACATATGTTTAATATGTTTATATGCTTTGAAAATTGTTGGGCTAATACAACTGACAAAATATGTGTTTATGCTGATAATTGTGACTAGAATAAGTCACTCCTACGCACCTGAAAGTGATTTGCCCAGACTTATTATTATTTCTTTGTAAAGCTCATACCTTGCTTAGTTATCACGCCGAATTTCATTGGAAACAAAATACTTGCACAAAGAAAAAATTATCTTTTTTTCTAGGTACTAATTTGCATATACAAATATGTAAACACTTCGAATTCTAGAAAATTTTCTTTTTAATGAAATGCTCTGAAAATCAACGAAATAAATAAGAAAGAGTTACTTATAAATCCACAATTTAAATTTTTGAAATTACTATTTTACATTTCACACAAGCTCGGTAGAAAGTTTGGCTATTTCGAGTGCTATTTTTAACCATCAAACATTTGTCACGCAAAGGACCAGTATGTGACATTGTTTAGCAATCTGAAGCTCAGCATTTTGGACCAAAGACAGAATCACAAGTATATGCTGAGTTGTCCAAACTGTTGCAGGCTAAATTTTCAAGACTTTCGGAGGTAGATGTGGATGCAGTTGAATATGCAGATGAAGTTGAACTTCAAAGAATTGTTACAGAAGTTACACAGATTGAAAACCTCTTAAATGGAAAATTCGAAAATGCTAACTGCCAGGAAAAAAGGCACATCACACATCGTACCTTAGAGGATGGCGTGCTGACCATTTCATATTGCTGCCCACATGGACATGGTGCTGTATGGAGTTCTTCCTCTTTATTTACCCAAAAACGAGGTCAAAATGTTTATGTGACAAGTGGCCTATTAAGTGCAGGTGTACTTATAACAGGAAATAACTTCGATAAGATCAGCTCGCTGTTCACATTCATGAATTGTAGTCTTGTTTCAAAAACAACCTTCAACCGCATCCAAACTTTGTATGCAATACCAGTAATTAGAGATCTCTGGAAAGCCATGAAAGAAAAAGTTGAATCTGTGTTTCAAGAA